ATTTCAGAGAAATTTTTCTGAATCTTTTCCACTGGCCGAAAATTGCTTTATATTTTTAATTGGAAACCGATATGCCTTATTGTGTTCAAAAGCAGCGCATACACTACAAATATTTCTATTATTAGAATATAAAAAATGTAGTAACTCCATCATGTAATTTAAGAGCTTAACTCCATTAATGAGAATGGCATATTTAACCTAAATCTGTATGTAAGATGTAAAACAATCATTCTTTTATGTATTTAAACTGTTATTGTGAAACTGCATTTATGATTATGACTCATGAAGTGGCTTTCCTTCATCAGGTGTGGTTACACTGCTCCGTCTCTGATGTCCAGAGTGTACTTACAGACGCACTTACACACTCTCCCGTCAAGTCTGTCTTTATAATGGCACGTCTGCGCCAGAAGTGTGTGTCCGTGTCTGACCTGCTCCTGGTGCCGGTGGGCGAGGTGGGCGAGTACAGGCTCAGGCCGCTCTCGCTCAGAGGACTCGTGACGGACCGGGACGTCGGATCCGGGGAATCGGGAAGCAGCTCCAGCTTGACGGCAGAGTCGGGGCTGTCGGGGTCCGGGTCGGAGCCGCTCGCGCTCACCTTGGCCCGCTTCTTGGCCGCGCTGTTCCTCAGCGAGCGCAGGGAGATCAGCATCTGAAGCACAGACCCGAGGTCACATGTCACTCTAAACAAACACACGTTTGGCTCAAAACAAACACTACCCCGGCTCATTCCGAATAGCGGTGTTTAATTTTGTTATGATATGAAGTTTTAATATACCGCAATACTGGAGTGTGTCGCTTAACCAGCGCTGGGAGCGCGACACTGTTAGAGAGGGTCTTTCACGGTGTGTGTTACTGAGCCTGACGTGCAGATGGAGAGGTTACACTATCATTGATGGCTGTCAAATTATATAAGTGTTTCACATACAGTGGTTCACAATATCAACACTGTGAAAATCTGTGTGTGGTTGGCTTTGAGATCGGTGAATAAACATGACCAGTTCACAGTCTAACGGTGTTTTTATATGAATGTATCTGAAGTGAGCTGACGCTCTTTAGGTTATTTTCACTTAATCTTCCCTGATACAGCAGCGTTTATGAGCCGTTACCGTGGAAACCGCTGTTTCTGCGCTCCTACAGCGCCTCCTTATAAACACTGCAGACCTGCATTAATACTGGTGTGGGATTTTCTACAAGATTCCCTCATGACAGTGAAATGGGGCATTTTTCCGAGTCTCGCTCACCTCCTGCCGGTCCAGCGGGTCGTCCACCGGTTCTCCCGGATCTCCTGCGGCGCTGATGGACAGATCGAGCCGATCCGACGAGGCTCTGGCGCTGATCCGGCTCCGGCGCGGGGCACGAGGAGGCAGAGGAGAGCGCTTGCTGGAGCTCACATCACCTGAGAAGAAGAACATGTGCCGTTTCAACGTAAAGATTCAGCAAGACTTTAATGAGCTGGAGATCGACACTGCCGTTAAAGAGGAGTCACTTCAGAATTACAATCTCCTGATGATTTACTCATCGTCATCATCCAAGATGATCATGTGTTTCTTTCTTCAGTGGAAAAGAAATGAAGGTTTTTGAGGAACACACTCCAGGGTTTCTACATATAGTGACTTCAATGGGGTCCAACGGGTCGAAGGTCCAGATGTGAGTTTCAGTGCAGCTTCAAAGTCTCGACACGATCCAGCCGAGGAATAAGAGTCTGATCTAGACAAACCAGCCGACATTTATAACAAAATACACATTTATATACTTTTAACCACTAATGCTGGTCTTGCACGAGCTGTGATGCGACAAACATTACGCAATCACGATGAAAACTTAATTTCTTTTCCACTGAAGAAAGAAAGACATGAATCTTGGATGACGTGGAGTAAATCATCAGGAGATTGTAATTCTGAAGTGAACTAATGCTAGTTCCTAACAGCCGTGCACTGCAAAACATGCTGTTCTTACTCTGTGTTTTTGTCTCGTTTCCAGTCCAAATAACTAAGAATTCTTAAATCAAGATGATTTACTAAAGTAGTAAGATGCCATAAGATATTATGTCTTGTTATCAGGGGGAAAAAATCTAAATGAAGTGAACAAGTAAAATTATCTTCCAATGTGGTCAGAAAAATAATCTTAATTCGAATGGAAAACTAGATTATTTTTCTGACCCCACTGGCTGATAATTTTGCTCAATTTAAGCAAAAACTGACTTAATTTTGACTTTTTCCCCCAGAAAACAAGACATAATGTCTAATGGGACTTTACTCATCTAGTAAATGCATCTTGATTTAAGAATTTGGAAACAAGACAAATGTTTTTTTGCAGCGTGAGGAAGTGTTCTGACCGGTGTCGTCTCGTCTGCTGGGCCAGGTGCTGGACATGGAGAGCGCGGGCGCGGGGTGTGTGCGCTGGGGAGCGGCTCCGGCCAGAGCGGTCAGCGGGTACGAGGGCAGCAGAAACGAGCCTGGAGGATCCACACTCCCCGACAGCAGACGACTGCTCCTCAGCCCTGGGGACCAGCGACACACACACGTCAGCTTCATCTATACAGCGACACACACACACGTCAGCTTCATCTATACAGCGACACACACACACGTCAGCTTCATCTATACAGCGACACACACACACGTCAGCTTCATCTATACAGCGACACACACACGTCAGCTTCATCTATACAGCGACACACACACGTCAGCTTCATCTATACAGCGACACACACACGTCAGCTTCATCTATACAGCGACACACACACGTCAGCTTCATCTATACAGCGACACACACACGTCAGCTTCATCTATACAGCGACACACACACACGTCAGCTTCATCTATACAGCGACACACACACGTCAGCTTCATCTATACAGCAACACACACACGTCAGCTTCATCTATACAGCGACACACACACGTCAGCTTCATCTATACAGCGACACACACTCGTCTCCTTCATCTATACAGCAACACACACACACGTCAGCTTCATCTATACAGCGACACACACACGTCAGCTTCATCTATACAGCGACACACACACGTCAGCTTCATCTATACAGCGACACACACACGTCAGCTTCATCTATACAGCGACACACACTCGTCTCCTTCATCTATACAGCAACACACACACACGTCAGCTTCATCTATACAGCGACACACACACGTCAGCTTCATCTATACAGCGACACACACACACGTCAGCTTCATCTATACAGCGACACACACACGTCAGCTTCATCTATACAGCGACACACACACGTCAGCTTCATCTATACAGCGACACACACTCGTCTCCTTCATCTATACAGCGACACACACACGTCAGCTTCATCTATACAGTGACACACACACGTCAGCTTCATCTATACAGCGACACACACACGTCAGCTTCATCTATACAGCGACACACACACGTCAGCTTCATCTATACAGCGACACACACACGTCAGCTTCATCTATACAGCGACACACACACGTCAGCTTCATCTATACAGCGACACACACTCGTCTCCTTCATCTATACAGCGACACACACACGTCAGCTTCATCTATACAGTGACACACACACGTCAGCTTCATCTATACAGCGACACACACTCGTCTCCTTCATCTATACAGCGACACACACTCGTCTCCTTCATCTATACAGCGACACACACTCGTCAGCTTCATCTATACAGCGACACACACACGTCAGCTTCATCTATACAGCGACACACACTCGTCTCCTTCATCTATACAGCGACACACACTCGTCTCCTTCATCTATACAGCGACACACACACGTCAGCTTCATCTATACAGCGACACACACACGTCAGCTTCATCTATACAGCGACACACACACGTCTCCTTCATCTATACAGCGACACACACTCTCGTCTCCTTCATCTATACAGCGACACACACACGTCTCCTTCATCTATACAGCGACACACACACTCGTCAGCTTCATCTATACAGCGACACACACACGTCAGCTTCATCTATACAGCAACACACACTCGTCAGCTTCATCTATACAGCGACACACACACGTCAGCTTCATCTATACAGCGACACACACTCGTCAGCTTCATCTATACAGCGACACACACTCGTCAGCTTCATCTATACAGCGACACACACACGTCTCCTTCATCTATACAGCGACACACACACTCGTCAGCTTCATCTATACAGCGACACACACACGTCAGCTTCATCTATACAGCGACACACACACGTCTCCTTCATCTATACAGCGACACACACACTCGTCAGCTTCATCTATACAGCGACACACACACGTCAGCCTCATCTATACAGCGACATACACACGTCAGCTTCATCTATACAGCGACACACACACGTCAGCCTCATCTATACAGCGACACACACACGTCAGCTTCATCTATACAGCGACACACACACGTCTCCTTCATCTATACAGCGACACACACACTCGTCAGCTTCATCTATACAGCGACACACACACGTCAGCCTCATCTATACAGCGACACACACACGTCAGCTTCATCTATACAGCGACACACACACGTCAGCTTCATCTATACAGCGACACACACACACGTCAGCTTCATCTATACAGCGACACACACACGTCAGCCTCATCTATACAGCGACACACACACGTCAGCTTCATCTATACAGCGACACACACACGTCAGCTTCATCTATACAGCGACACACACACGTCAGCTTCATCTATACAGCGACACACACACGTCTCCTTCATCTATACAGCGACACACACTCTCGTCTCCTTCATCTATACAGCGACACACACTCGTCAGCTTCATCTATACAGCGACACACACACGTCAGCTTCATCTATACAGCGACACACACTCGTCAGCTTCATCTATACAGCGACACACACTCGTCAGCTTCATCTATACAGCGACACACACAAGTCAGCTTCATCTATACAGCGACACACACTCGTCAGCTTCATCTATAGAGCGACACACACAAGTCAGCTTCATCTATACAGCGACACACACACACACACACGTCAGCTTCATCTATACAGCGACACACACACGTCAGCTTCATCTATACAGCGACACACACACACACACACGTCAGCTTCATCTATACAGCGACACACACACGTCTCCTTCATCTATACAGCGACACACACACGTCAGCTTCATCTATACAGCGACACACACACGTCAGCTTCATCTATACAGCGACACACACACGTCAGCTTCATCTATACAGCGACACACACACTCGTCTCCTTCATCTATACAGCGACACACACACGTCAGCTTCATCTATACAGCGACACACACACACGTCAGCTTCATCTATACAGCGACACACACACTCGTCTCCTTCATCTATACAGCGACACACACACACGTCAGCTTCATCTATACAGCGACACACACACACGTCACCTTCATCTATACAGCGACACACACACGTCTCCTTCATCTATACAGCGACACACACACGTCAGCTTCATCTATACAGCGACACACACACTCGTCTCCTTCATCTATACAGCGACACACACACACGTCTCCTTCATCTATACAGCGACACACACTCGTCAGCTTCATCTATACAGCGACACACACACGTCAGCTTCATCTATACAGCGACACACACTCGTCAGCTTCATCTATACAGCGACACACACTCGTCAGCTTCATCTATACAGCGACACACACTCGTCAGCTTCATATATACAGCGACACACACTCGTCTCCTTCATCTATACAGCGACACACACACGTCAGCTTCATCTATACAGCGACACACACACGTCTCCTTCATCTATACAGCGACACACACTCTCGTCTCCTTCATCTATACAGCGACACACACTCGTCAGCTTCATCTATACAGCGACACACACACGTCAGCTTCATCTATACAGCGACACACACTCGTCAGCTTCATCTATACAGCGACACACACTCGTCAGCTTCATCTATACAGCGACACACACTCGTCAGCTTCATCTATACAGCGACACACACACTCGTCAGCTTCATCTATACAGCGACACACACAAGTCAGCTTCATCTATACAGCGACACACACTCGTCAGCTTCATCTATACAGCGACACACACAAGTCAGCTTCATCTATACAGCGACACACACACACACACACGTCAGCTTCATCTATACAGCGACACACACACGTCAGCTTCATCTATACAGCGACACACACACACACACACGTCAGCTTCATCTATACAGCGACACACACACGTCTCCTTCATCTATACAGCGACACACACACGTCAGCTTCATCTATACAGCGACACACACACGTCAGCTTCATCTATACAGCGACACACACACGTCAGCTTCATCTATACAGCGACACACACACTCGTCTCCTTCATCTATACAGCGACACACACACGTCAGCTTCATCTATACAGCGACACACACACACGTCAGCTTCATCTATACAGCGACACACACACTCGTCTCCTTCATCTATACAGCGACACACACACACGTCAGCTTCATCTATACAGCGACACACACACACGTCACCTTCATCTATACAGCGACACACACACGTCTCCTTCATCTATACAGCGACACACACACGTCAGCTTCATCTATACAGCGACACACACACTCGTCTCCTTCATCTATACAGCGACACACACACACGTCAGCTTCATCTATACAGCGACACACACACGTCAGCTTCATCTATACAGCGACACACACACGTCAGCTTCATCTATACAGCGACACACACACGTCAGCTTCATCTATACAGCGACACACACACACGTCTCCTTCATCTATACAGCGACACACACACGTCACCTTCATCTATACAGCGACACACACACACGTCTCCTTCATCTATACAGCGACACACACACGTCAGCTTCATCTATACAGCGACACACACACTCGTCTCCTTCATCTATACAGCGACACACACACACGTCAGCTTCATCTATACAGCGACACACACACGTCAGCTTCATCTATACAGCGACACACACACGTCAGCTTCATCTATACAGCGACACACACACACGTCAGCTTCATCTATACAGCGACACTCACACTCGTCTCCTTCATCTATACAGCGACACACACACACGTCAGCTTCATCTATACAGCGACACACACACTCGTCTCCTTCATCTATACAGCGACACACACTCTCGTCTCCTTCATCTATACAGCGACACACACACGTCAGCTTCATCTATACAGCGACACACACACTCTCGTCTCCTTCATCTATACAGCGACACACACTCTCGTCTCCTTCATCTATACAGCGACACACACTCGTCAGCTTCATCTATACAGCGACACACACACGTCAGCTTCATCTATACAGCGACACACACTCGTCAGCTTCATCTATACAGCGACACACACTCGTCAGCTTCATCTATACAGCGACACACACTCGTCAGCTTCATCTATACAGCGACACACACTCGTCAGCTTCATCTATACAGCGACACACACACTCGTCTCCTTCATCTATACAGCGAC